ACTAACAGCTCAAAACTAAAATACTACTATTAAAAATAGTCTACCTATTTATAAATAAATGTATTCGACTGGGATTTTGAGTTTATTTAAGAATATTTCAAATATATTCAAGTTCATTTCTTATTTACTATTGTATTTACAATACAAAATATCGAGACTGGCAATCTTGCGTTGCAAGAGAGCAATCAGCTGACGCGTTTCTACGGGAAAGACACAAATTTCGTGAGTGTTCGTTTACATTGCCCTCTCATCAGATAGGTCGTATCAGCTTATTTGATCTACGGTTTTGCGTCGGTGGCTGTTTCCAGCATAATCGTTTGGAGTATTTCATTGTACATTACCATATACATACATATGTACATAAACATATACATAGATATGTAATGTAATGTGAAAGTATGCGTGTGCGTTAGTGTTTTATCGGCGCTTAACGAGTAATAATGTGCAAAAATGTACATGAGGCAAAGTTACAAGTTAATAATATGCAGAGCTCTATACAGACGATATATACGTAAGTACAGAAAAACCGTGCGGAACTAACGGCTTTTCTCTTGCTATGAAACTTCTGCTTGATTGCAAGAGGTGTTGAAGAGAGAACATTCATTTTATAGTTACACATGTAACGTATTTTAAGATCGCTTTGCTGCAATTAAGGGAAAAGTGGGTGTCTTCTTCAGTTTAGATGATTTTTTAAATATCCACATCATGATACGAATGATATTTAAGAAATTATTCTAGCTGAATTATTATTCAATGATGTAGCCATCACATTTGAAATATGATTTTTATACTCTTGCAACATGTTGCTACAGATCGTTTTGTTCACCTAACGGTTGCTTGTATCACCATAAACTAATCGAGATAGATATAGGGTTATGTATATATAAATGATCAGGATGACGAGACGAGTTGAAATCCGGCGACGGCGTAAAAATAGGAGAAATCAGTTGACAATCGCGCCCAATCCCCATATAACGGTTTTGTTGAAAACTACTAAAAGTCTGATAAATCTAAAAATCTAAATGAGCCAGAATCTTTAAATTTTACATCCGGGATGGTATAAAAGGGCTTTATGGGAGCCGGTGTCAAAGTTGGACAATGGGCTTGGCACCACCAACCTTTGGGTGAAATCACATGTCTCCAGACCTACTCTACTAATTGCAACCAAATTTTATACATAACATTGTTATGACATTTCTATCTCAGAGCGTGAAAATGTGCGAATTTTTACTACAACTACGCCTACTTCCCATATAACACAACTTTTAATTTCATCTGATTCATAGACTTTCCAGTATACAAATCAAGCAAACAATATATATGTATATCAGTATAAAACTTTGTACAAATAACATAGTGCCTTTAAGGTATGCCATCTCAAGTCTAAATATTGTCGAAATCAGACTATAACTGTTCAAGCCCACAGATACCGAAGATGTGGACCCCAGTGCCTATAGCTGACTTTTTACCGAAAATATCGGTCAATGTGTATGATATACACCTGATAATAGTATGTCTATGTGTCAAAAATAGGTTGAATCGGGTCAATACTTGCCTTAGTGGGTAACACACGAACTTGGCCTTTCCTTACTTGTTCTATGAAAAGTAATTTTATGATGAAACCATAAGACATCTCCAACCAAAAATTGCCAGTATTTTTATTATGGTTTGTCGGGCAATTTAATAGCATCAATAAAAGAACGAAATCTATCTTCTGTTTTCGAAAAGTAATATATGACCAGAAAGACTTTTTAGAATGTTTGCACTTACTTGAAGCAAATTAAAAAGTAAAGGAAAAGCACACAACGCGCCACACAAAGTATCCTTACAGTTTACTTGGAGCAAACGTGTGCATTGAACTTCGCTAATTTAACACCTATGTATATAATAGCTGCTGCTATAAATTAAACACATAAGCACACAAGCTTACAAGCTTACAAGAGACAGTGCAAAGCAAAAACAAAAATTTCAAATAAACATGCTGAGGTGCTTGTACGCGCCGCCAAGCAAACTCCCAATGTCCACACATGACAAGTCACAGTAATATTTTTCCACAATTACCAGCTTGTATTTATTTAGGTTTGCCAGGTCGACTGCCTCGCTACCTGGCTGATTGGCAGACTGGCAGACTGGCTTTTGCGCCCACAGACTGGACACCGCCTCGGCAGCTAGCCGATGAGGCCAGCAGCTGAACACGCTTGGTCAGCCGGCAGTCAAATCAGCCAAGCGTCAAGTTCACTACCAGCCAACACAAGTTGTTATTTATGAGTATATACATACATATGTATCTATGTATGTTTGTATGTATGTATGTATTGGAGTATGTAAGTATGCTTACTTTTATAATGAGGCTCACACGGTTTATGAGTACCGTATTTGTTGTTAGACTAACATTTCTACCGGCAAAGCTGGCTGACTAGCTATCGGCCGGTTTCTATTGACAACAATATGACAAGTTTCGCAAAAAAAAAAAAAAAAAATTGTGTTAATATTTCTCTCACTACTTTCAATGGACATCACTATTTACTCCCCGCTATGTTTCTACGGTGTGTCTTTGTTGACTCTTTATGCAAAACACCAGAATTAGGCTTTGAGTATCGCATCGAATCCTTTCCGAGACATAAAATGTTATTAACTTTGCAGAGTGAACGCTCGCGGTCCACTTGCTGTGCAAAGAATATGCGAAAAGCATATTAAAAAAAAAACACAAAAAGATAGTTTGAGGACTTTAAACCACCTCTTTATGCCCCACTATGAGTCGCGGCCACTTAGCCGCGTTGGCAACGAGACATAGCAACTGTCCGTCTGCCGCAGCATACTACTTTAGACACACGCCGACACACACGCCTAAGCCCATGTAGGCACGCTGGCATATTCTGGCTGCTTAAGCTTAATCCTGGGTGGTCTCCGCCCTGCTGTTCTGTTTCTTTTTGGCCTTTCGATGCCTTTTAATATCTTTTTTTCCCGATCGGGTTTGCATAAAATGTCTCCTTTTTTTTGCCAGCGCTAATAACTCCCAGCACCATCGGCGTCGCGCCACTCGACAACAAGGCGCACACATGCGTACGCTGATACTTTATAGCCCTGACTAATGCTATAGACAAGTGGTATGTAGGTTTGGAGGGCTTCTTCGGCGTTGCTTCTTAGTTGTTGCAGGAAATTCGTAGAAATAAACGTGCACTTTTCAAGGCTACGTCGGCAATGTAGCTAAATAATTATCATACATATATACAGTACTTACAAAAGCGTCCCTGCAGCGGGGAAATACATAGAGGTAGAAGGATAATTTTCTGGTTTTTGTAGAGGTAATTGGTAACTAGTCTCTTAACTAGCTGTGAAAAATTCGTAACTGGGTTGATATATCATATATTTAACAACATTTTTTAATGTAACTAAAGGTTTTAGGAAATTCAAAGAGTACTAAAAATTTTTTTCCCAAATACCCTTTATAGGCCGGTGGTGAAGTCTTTAAAATCTTTTTTTTTGCATTTTCTAAGAAAACTTACCATTAAAATATATTTTGTTTTTACACCATCAGAAAGTATAGACTTCAACGAAGAAAAAGCCTACCGGCTTAAAACAAATAGATATTTTCAAGTGAGAGTTTAAAATTAGGGTCCGATATCAAAAACAAAATAAGGTGAAAAAAGATGGTAAATATTTTAATTTTAAAAAATTACAGTGTATTTGGGACATTAAAAGACTAGTTTACGCCAAATTTCGCGAAAGAAAACATTTTTATGTAAAAGATAAAAATAAAAAACCAAAAACTTGATTATTTAAATTTTAAACAAAAATGTTGAGGCTATGTTAAAAAAGTGATATTTTTATAACCTGTAATTTTGCCATGTAAGTTTTTTCCGTAGGACTTGTAGTTTTTCCGGAAATTCAGATAAACCCTTCCGCTTCCCGACCACAAATCGCCGTAAATTATTATTTTTTTCATTTTGATTCCTTTTTCAATGAGTTTCATCCTACTACTTGTATTAGTTGTTTCTTTTTGGTTGGTTTCTAAAATTATCGACCCTAGTCCATAAATAGTGTATTGCATACAGAAGCGATAATTGAATAATTTCTATTTTTGAAATTTGTGGTACTTTGCAACTAGTTCAGAACTAGTTTATGGCTCTCAGGGGATCGGTAAGTGATGCAACATCACGCACCTACTTTTTATTTTTTTATTTTTTTCAAGATTGTTAATTCGTCCCTCTATTTCGATCATCATGTAACTAGTTCCAAAAAAGCTCAAAGCATTTATAAACGCCAGCTAGTAAACATTTATGTTGGGCACTCTCTTTAATACATTATTTTATATTCAAACTTGAAACTAGTGCTTCATAGTTCATTTTAGACCACTTCGCAACTAGTTCACTTGATACGAAGAAACTTATGCACAATTATAATATAAATTTATATTTATATTTATTTAATATTTTTGGAGCATTTTCACATTTTAAACTCTCATTCTATCGACTACAAATCATATTTATTGCCTTGAGTTATTAAAAATGATTTAAGAGGGGCAAACTTTTCGGGCCACTGCAACAATGTGGCACAGTCATGGATTTTTGCAATCTTTCTTTATATACTTCAGAAGTGAACAGAAAATGGAAACTTAAATGAATTGCGCTAAGGATCCAAACGACCAATCTTATCAACCAAGCACTTGAAATCAGCGCAGATAAGGCATTGGCATCAATTTATTTTTAGACAGAGAGTAAGTGATTGGAACACCATTGAGTTCAGCATGCAAGTAGGTGCGTCATAGCATGTGAAAATGAAATAAAATCGAATATCGTGCGTGCGTTTGTAAGCTTATAGTAGATTTCTCCATATGTACGAGTATGTTAGCATGAGATTACAAAATTCCGGTAGAAACATTTGCTGGACTCCGTTTCACTAAACTGATTTACACTTTTACTCGAATCATAGGAAACCCTTAGGTCTATTTAAAATTTTTAGGTATTTGAAATATGTAAAATTTATTCAAATTACTTTACCTTTTAGTTTAGGGATCCTCAATTAGGCTTGATAGTAGCTAGCATGTATACAAAAACAACAATGCGCATTGTTCCGAACTACGAGATGCAAACTTTTGCACTTGTTTACCGTTATTGTAGCTACAACGGTTGTAGTTGTGTTGTTGTTTTTTCCCCAACAAATGGCACTTAGCAAAAAAAGAGAAGAGATGTGAAAATATTCAACGACAAGCCATCAGCTGCAACGTCATCTACACTAAAGTTGTCGTTATCCTCGCCGTCGCCGTTGGCTACGTTCACATTTGGGTGTTTCAGAGCAAAAGTGTCAGTACGTCAATTTCGAGTCTTCATTGCCTTTCGTCATAAACATTGCCGAACTCGTGGGTGCGTTCAAGCGTCAGTGACATCGTTAGCTCAGTTGCCGTGGGCCGCCCTTTCACTCTCGCTATCGATACATCTGTGGCTTTCTGGCAAATTTCGCGTTGACCGAACGTGTACAGTGGATTATACATAGAAGCTTATTGATACGCGTCGCGCAGCCGTTGCGGTTTATCGTTGCCCCAAGTGCTGGTGTGAAGATAGTGGTGGTGGCGTCTTGTCACTATGTTAATGATATATGAATTATTCTTGTTTCTTTATGTGCAATATAATTTCAATAGATTTGTCATTTTGTGGTTTGTCGGTTTGGCTGGAGGTGTATATTTTAGGTGATTATCTTTACTTTAATATTGTATTCTCATTCTGTATTCATACCCTTGCATATTATAACAGTTATTTTGCTGTCTAGCGGTATTTTATAGCAATATAGTATATATAGCGTTATTAAATCAAAATGAGCGGATGAGAAGAGTTCTTGATTTCTATTTTGTCAATAAATAATGCCAGTATCATCAAAGTTAACAATACGGATACGATCAGTTGGTATATCAGTTCGAAGATTGTAAAGTGGACCGGTTGCCGCTCACTTTATTGAAATTTACCTAGACCAATTTGAACCAATTTTGGTATACAATTCATAGTATTTTTTTTTCTAAATAATAGCTCCAATAAAGATATCAAAACGAAACCTAGCTGAAATAATTCCTAAGATATGAGACAGCCTTACGTTTAAAAGTCAAAATCGGACTAGATATAATATGTCATTCGAGCTCCAAAACGAAGACCTCAGTGCCAACGACTGACTTAATACCGAAAATATCAATAAATATGTGAGATATCCTTACAAAATGATGAGGTCATGATTTACTGATAATAGCATGAGTTGTCCCAAAATATATAACACGGCCTATATTTCCCTAGCCCCATAAATCCAATATAAAGATCTTCGAATTTGCGTTTGACTTTGACGAGTTTATCGGTCTATATATAAGTTTATATAATATATTTTAAGAAAACAATGTGCCACATCATGAACTTACCATATGATTACTCCAAGCCAACGCTTAGCCCCATTTTCCATACACTTGTTATAAGCGGCTGGTATGGCTTAATGATTAATTGATTTTTTTAGTTTTTCGGTTTGGCTCATTTTGAGTCTAGCATTGAAATACTTTATACCATTAACAGTGTTGAGTCAATCCATAAAAGATGTTGAGATCCTCTATATTTAGTGAAAACAGGACATTTTCAAGCACGGTTTCTTTAACTTTTCGATGTTATCCTTATTAACGGAGGTTTGTCGATTCCGTTAATGCGCGTAGTTTAAATAAACAGTCGAATTAAATTTGATCAGTATTGTAGTTTTGTCCAAAAAGAAAATCCAGAATATGTCGGTTAATATGTAAGAGTTTTATTGGCATTATGCGCCAATGCTTTTAGATAACATATTTGGTGCCAAAACAGATAAAATCAGTACAGAATTGATTTTTGGTTTCGAGTTTCTTACTTACCTCTCTGCATTATATTTTTTACCTCAATTAAATTTTTAATTTAGAACTTTGTAATAACACTAATAAATAAAGATAAGCACAACAAATGTTTTTTTATTTTTACAAATTTATCATCTAACCTATCTCTTAACGTTACCATTCTCTCTCTTTCAGTTCGGCGGCTATTTTCGTTGCTCTTACAGTGAAGAGAGTCATTGTTAAAAAGTTCATCCGTGCAGAAATCCTCCTCGATAATCTCCTTAAGCCCTTAAGTAGTAACAAGTTTTCTCAACAAACGGGCGCCTCGCTCTGCCCTCGTACTTTTGCAAACCAACCATTCGCCGTTGCTAAGATTTGTCGTTAGGT